GGTGGGGGTGGGGCGGGGCAGGGAGGGGGCTACACCCAAGGGAGGAAGATCAGTCTGAGCTTCCTGGGATGCGGGGCGGCCAAGGGGCTTGTGCCTGTTTCAGAGAGGCTCTCAGGCCCACCTGCACCACCCCCCCTCCGGGGCTCACCTTGTGCTGCTGAGGGTCATAAAAGAAGTTGGACCAGTTGGGGTCTGTCTGCATGAAGTGGAACTCGAACAGCTCCCTCAGGCACAGGACCAGGATGTTGTAGCAGATCTGGGGCAAGGGTGGGGGGGCTCTGTCAGGCAGTACCAGGCACCTGGGGGTCGGGCCGAACGTCTCCGACTCCCACTGTGCCCCACCAGCCCAGGCGACTGATTCCAGGGTCGCCCCGGTCACGGAAGGTAGCAGCTGCGCTCCCATCCCCTCAAATCCCGCTGGTGCTGCTTCACTGCAAGGCCACGGCTCACACCATTAGGTAAGGGCACAGCCACACACGAGGACACCCTAGCTCCATCCTGCTGCCAGCTCAGACACACCTCATTCCGAATCTCCTGGCTCAGCCCTTCGGCCTGGTCCAGGGGGAAGCCGGACACCAGCTCCGTGGTCAGCACGTGTGGGCTGCAGAGCTCGTCCACAATCTCGGGCACGTAGAAGAAGGGGTGGTCCTTCAGCAGCTCCCTGATAGGCGTGGGAGGTCACACCGTGGCCACAGACCTGCTCACCCCTCCCCTCCAGGGACAGCCTCCCCAGGCAGAGGCCCTGCTTTACTCTGGGCAGGGTGCGGCTACAGTCCCAGGCTGGGACCCCAGCCATCCACCCCTCAGAGCCAGAGGGACCTTCTTTGGCCTCCCCGGTGGGAACACAGGTGAGGGGCCACACCTGAACCTCTTGGCACAGGCAGCCTCCCGCTGGTAATCACACTCAAGGGCCAGCTCCCGCCTCAGCACATCGATCAGGTGCTCAGGGAACAGGCCTGGCCAGGGAGGAAGGTGTCACTATGGGGAGGGCCTCTGCAGGGAGGCTGCTCGGTCCCCGCGTCCATCCCAGGCGCCTGCCACCCACTCCGCCCTTGGCCAACAGCTCAGCCTCAGACCTTCCGGAAGCATGTTGCTCATGTTCAGCACAGTCATGAGGTTGTTGACGTCACTGTTGATGCTCTGGGCCACGCCAGGGTACTGCAGGGAGGGAGCGGAGTCACCCAGGCCAAGGCAGGCCCCATGACAACCCCACAGCCCAGCTCTCCACCTTCGCCTCCCACTCCCCACCCCCCAGCTCAGGGCCCCCCAGCTCGGACCCCAAAAGGCAGACAGTCGCCTGTCGCCATCCCTGCCCATCCCAAACCAAGCTTGCTGAGAGGCCAGCCCCCACTCTCCACAGTCACTCATTTGGCAAATATTTCTCAGGCATCCAGTGTGTGTCCACCAGGTGCTGGAAACAGGCAAATGAAACATGGGTCCTGCCCTGGGGGGCATGAGCTACGAAGGCCCTCACAGTGCAGGGCCCCAGCCCTGCCCTCTGCCCCCATGGAGACAAGCACACACACGCGGGGCCTTACCTGGATCTTCATAGCCACCTCACGGCCACCCTTCATGCGGGCCAGGTGCACCTGCCCGATGGAAGCAGCTGCAAAGGGGCGCTCCTCAAAGTACTCCAGCTTGTCCCGCCAGTTGGGGCCCAGGTCGTTGTTGAGGGTTTTCTGGAGGGGAACGCCAGGGAGGGGCCCTGAGTACAGCCCGGGACACCCTGAAAAGTACCCGGTCTGCCCCTCCAACAGCTGCCTCAGCTCCCCTCCAACGAAAGGGGCAATGATGGACCCAGAACCGGCACCCAGCTGCCTCACCATCATCTGCTTCAACGGCATGAAGTCAGCACTCTGCCTCACCCGCTCAAAGATCTTGGCCAGATGCGGGTTGATGAACGCGTCATCTGGAAGGCAGGACACCGTCATCGGAGGGCAGAGGGTCACCATGCAGGAGGAAGGCGCATGGGCAAGAAGCAGAGTGGCCACCCCACCAACCTTGCACAGCCTGACTTCCGGCACTGGGAGAGAGGCTGAAATGCTGCCTCACCCTGCACCACACTGGAACTCATGGTTCAGAGGCCAACATCACACAGCAGACCTGGTCTCAGATTCCTCCTTGTGCCCTGGGTGCTTTTTTCCCACCTGACACACAGGCCTGAAGCTGTGAGCTCCAGGGGACCCTGGGCCACAATGACCTGAGTGGGCACACTCCTGGGACACCATGGCCAGCAACTCTGTCCACAGACAAATGCACCCCAGTCCGTCCCCACCTCCCCACCAGGAGGACAGTGAGGGGAGACAAGGCGCAGCCTCAATGGGGAGCCCTGTGACTGGGCACACACTGCCTGAGCAGTCAGGCCTTGGCCATATGGCGCAGCTGGGAGCCTCCCCAGGGAAAGAAGGTGGGCATCACATGTACAGTTTTTTCCAACTATAAAAGATAATAAATTTAGAAAATATAGTCAAATGTTAGAATTCATCTGAAGGCCTGCAGAGAGCTACCGTTTCTTTTTGGCTGCTCTTTCCTGTGCATTTTCCATGCCTGGAGTCACCCTGAGTTGAGACTTTCCTATGGTTTCTCAGGCAGCTTCCTCTCCGGGACACTTCCTCATGGGTTAGTTTTCCTAAACACCTGCAACAGCCCTGTCAGGGGCAGCAAAACATGCCACCCATGTTACGCACGACCCTGCACTTGCCTCAGCTTCTGCATACCTGCCGCCATGAGGAGTGAGCCCTGGCTCACCTCAGTCTCCCTAAGATCAGGGGCCCACGTGCCTTCCAGAAAGTTTGCCCCAGCAGCATGAACACAGGTGGGGCCCACACCCTACCCCAACTCTGCAGCCACCCCAATACCAACTCCTCTCTGCTAATTCTGACCCATTCTCGGCAAGACATGACACTAGTGGGGCTGAACCCACTTTCAGACCTTTGGTGCCATGCCAGTCTCGTGGCTGCTCCTGCGTGCCGGGTCCTCGAAGGCCTGGGGTCCCCCAATGCCAGCTGTGGTCTTGGGGCCACACACCCCAGTTCTAACACCTGTGAGCTCCACCAGCACCGCAGGGCGGCAGTAGGGGACTGCTGCCAACCGTTGAGACGCCAGAAGGACCTCAGGGTATTTTAACATACCCGGAAAGGCAAGAACAGCAGTGGGCGCCTTTCAAGGCTTTTTAAACACCCGGCG